GGCCCTTCCCAAGTTCATTTGTAACGTATATGACATGACTTTCCAAATTAAGAGAGGGAGGTTATGCAGGTTAAGTTACTGCGCATTTTTTTTCATCTGACAAATGCTATTTTTGCCCCTTTTAAAAAGGCAGCCTATACTATCCCCAATAAACACCTGCTGTGCTCCTATGAAACAGGGATAAACAAATGATCTGCCCTCTTGAAATAGCCAGAGAGCCGTGACCCAGTGGGGAAACACTCTGGGCTCCAGGCAAGAGTGGCTGCCTGCAAATTCTTTTTTGAACGGAGTAGGGCAAAAGACTCCTAGTCCTTTAGTTGCTGTAGCAATCCTGTGCGGGATGAGTTATCCTCACCTTACAAACGGAGAAATGGAGTCTGGAAGGTTCAAAGACCGGTCCGTGACTGTTCTCCTGCCCCTGTGGACTCTGCTGCGCTGTCTATCCCCTGCATTGGACCCCTGGGTCCTGGGCATCTCTTCCTGGCCTTCCTGAGACACACCCTTGGTTATGAACTTCTGTGTCATTCTGTGTCATTCCTGGCTTGCAGGACTTGGCCCAGGAGGATGACCAATATTTTCTGGGTGATGTGCGACAAGCGTCCCCCAGTATCTACAACAGGCAGTCTAGTGGAAATGGGTAGGGGCAGGGAGGGCTCAAATCCTGCTACTTTTTACCTGCATGGCTTTGGGCAAAGCAGAAGGCTCTGTGGCTTGGTTTCCTCATCATTAAAACAGAGTCGCTACTACCTACTTCCTTAGGTTGCTGTACTGCTGAAATGTCAGGACTGCGCCTGGCACATGGTAAGGGCTAATGCAAGGACCAATTCGTCCAACCCAGAGGCTCTCCTTGTGTTATTCTGTCTTCACTGTGACATGGATAAGGAAGTAGGTGGTGGTGCCCAAGGTCATGCTGGTAGTAAGAGCCAGGACATGAAGAAACTCAGTCTACTCTATACCCTTGTACCCAGCTCAGCCCCACTGCACTTGCCCCACCCCACATGCTTTATTTGCTACCTAGCCAAACCTGCAGGGTGACAAGCGTGCCTCCCAGACCAAACTTGGGTGTGCAGGGAATAACAGCAGCAGATCTGTATTTCTTTTTTCCCCTATATTTCAACTTGATTTCTATTTAGGGCCCTGATTCCCACCAGGGTGATGAAAATTAAACCTCTATCAGTTCAAGGTTCTATCCTCCTTCCTTGGGACTGCACTAGAATTGCTGAGGACTTACCCAGTGCCAAGGCACCGAGGTTGGGGCCTCCCTGTTCCTTGTGTCACCTGTCTGTGCTGGTATCCAGCAGTTTTCCACTCCACCCCATAGAGCCCTTGGCCTTCATCCACATAGGCGGAGGCCGGCACAGTGGGCCGCCATGGACAGCTGAGTGGGTTGTGCACTTGCAAAAACATACTTGGATGATGGGTGGGTGGAACTGAAATCCGGTCCATTCTGTGCTTCCTAAGTTGTGGATGTAAGTGCGGGACTGCTTCTACCCTGAGGAGGGGATGTGTTTTCTTTGCACCAAAGGACTCTTCACTGGTCCGGCCATATGCCTCTGACTCTTTCGCCCACCTTTTTCGAATTTGTACAAAAGGCATCTTCAAGCTGGTTGTGGCCCTGCTGGAGTCATCCCTTCTCTGTCTGAATGGCTCCTTCAGGTCCTCTGACATTTCTGAGTGGTGCTCTGGCTCTTGGCCTCACTCGTGCTGGGGGTGGGTGTCTCCAAAACGCTTTCCTATACATGACGGCAGCCCTTCCTCTCAGGCCTGCCATCTGGCCAGAGGTGCACCTGGGGAGTTGGGCCCCTACTCTTGGAGCTCACAATGTAGCTGGAATTTTGCTGTCTCCTGGGGGCTCTGCCCAGAAAGGGGTATAAGGCTCCCCTCTCTAGAAGCTCTCAAGGAAGTACTGTTCTTTTGCCAACTCCTCTCCATCGCTCCTCCCCATCCCCACCTTGGGGGAAATTTTCTTGTCTCCTGGGAACCCCAACTTCCCTCAGCCTCCAGCTCTGCCATTCCTTAGGATTTCCTTCCTGGTTGTGGTCTGGTCAGGAGTTCTCTTCAAGCCTTTAAAGCTTGCCAGGAAGACATTTCTGGTTTGACTTTCTGCCTCCCCTGGGGCAATGGATTGGGAGTGGGATGAACTATTATAAGGAAATCCATTAACTCTCCTTCCCCAATTATCCCACCTTGCTTGGGAGGCCCACGGGGCCTGGGGAGCTATTCAGGTCCTCCAAGTAGAGAAAAGGTCTGCTACTCCCAGTTTCCAAGCCCTACGCAAGCCCCCCCTCACCCCGTTTCTAGGGCTTTCCGTAAAATTCTGCCTGGGTGTCCTCGAGGCCTCCGGTCCACAGCGCCCCTTAACACAGACTGGAGGAGGGGACCTTTGCCTGAAGGGGCCCTGGAGCCCTTTCTAGGCTCTCCGGCCTCACGCAGCGCCCCCTGCCAGGAGATTGGGGAAGTTGCCGCTCTCCTTCAAGGCGCGCGGTAAATCGTAATTTTATTTTCAACAGCGGCTGCGTTTAACAACTGGCTCATAAAATTTCTGAAAATTTAACATTTGGCTCTCACAAGCCGGTTGGAGCTGGCCCCAGAACACCACTGAGGCCTCAGTGACTTCTGGTTCCACAATGAGAGGCACCTGCGGGAAATGGGAGGGCAGGAAGAGAGGTTTTATTTATCTGCTCCCTCTTCTCCTTCTGCTCCGTTGTGCAGCTCCTGCTTTTCTAGGGGCCCCCTTTCCAGAGCTCCAGGCTCCTCCAGGCTCAGCCAACACTTTTCCCTCCTGCTAATGGCTTTTTGACTTCTAGTTCTTGCTAATTCCTGACGCATCTGCATCCCATCTACCCCTTTGTAAATAGTCTTCTCATTACATCCCATTAATCCTTCCCTTTCCTTTGCGTGCACTTCTGTTTCCTGGCCGGGATCCTGCCTGCTTAAGTTTGCTCCTGTGGTCACAACTTTTTAATACTTCTGTTCTCCACTTTGGGGACATTGTGTCCTCGGGCAAGTTGCACACCTTCTCTGAGCTAGAGTTTTATGAGAATTAAGTGTAATGCAGCAGGACATTATTTTGAGGGATTAACCAGTGGTTCCCTTGCTTTTCTCTTGCTTTTCCCTGCTGCCTTATACCTCTTTCCCAAAAGGGGCTGCTGCGTCCTATAGTAGTCATTTCTCAAGGACAGGATTAGAGCAGAAATAGGGGGAAAGTTTTGACTTTCAAAATCTAAGACCCCCATGAGCATCGGGGCAAGGAAAACCTCATGAGTCAGAACAAAGCATCCTGCTGGAAGATCCACCAGTCCCTGAGAAGGCCCTCCAACTCTGCCAGGCCAGGAGAGGCAGAACTGCTGCTAGCCTGGCAAGTTGAAGAATTGAAAATAAATGGCTGCTGGGTCCAGGGGACTGTGCGAACTTCAACTTCCTCAGTCTCCTGGTGTCCGGTTGTGGTCCAGGAAAGATGCTCATTACTGGTGGGGCCCCCAGACAGGTCTGGGTGATGACATCATAGTAGCTGTGTGGTCTGACAAGAAATGGCCGGGTGTGTTATGGGCCTGAGTGAAAGGAAGAAGGACAAACAATGACAGGGGTCCTGAGTCCCGGCCCTATACCTTGGCCTCATCCCCTCTTCCCTTAACTTAGCCCTGGCAGAAAGGGGGAGGGATTCTAAATTGAAAGATACACACTTCTACCACATGCAGAATGGGGTCTGTGATAGGAGTTCTCTAGAAAAACGAAGGGCCACTTCTGCTTCATTTGGGGTTGAAGACTCATGCCTGTCCCAAGGAGAGCCCTGAAGTTATCTCCGGGGAACTTCCCTGAAGCAACTTGCTGACGAGCCCACTTTTCCACACCACCTGCAAAACAGATGCCATCAGAGGGGCCTCCCCTAAGCACTTCTGTCTCCACCAGTCCAGGGGTCCCCCAACCAAGGGCCAGGCATGTCTGTTCTCATGTCCCTCAGTGCCACCAGTACTGGTTGTTACTTGTAACTTGAATGACTGTCATGAAAACTATTGAAAAGCAAAAGCAGGCAAAAGAGAGCTGTGGTTTCCGTGACAGTTAAGTTGAGGCACGATGTTGGGAAAAAGACAGCTCTCACATGAGGCGTAGCAGTGATAACTGTAAAAGTTTGGGGAGGTATGAGATGTCTTGGAAAATTCTGCAATCGGAGCACTTCACAATCTCTTTTAGTTCTCATTCGGAAAGAAAGAAACTGATATTGGAAAGTGTAGACTATGTCCTTTACGGGTGGTTTGTATAAGGCAGGCGTGGAACTTGAGTCAACCCATATCAAAAGAAAACTCTTGGCTGTACATTGAAACTGGCAAATGAGTATGTGTTTATGTATTAACATAGACTATTTAATGTGCGTCTATGTATGTGTATGTATATGTGTGTATACTAGATTTATAGGTGTATATGTATATATCTAAAATTTTTAGGTGATGTGTTAGGTTCTATGTTTTTTTTAGTTTCTTTTCAGTGTTCCAGAATTTGTATATACATAATTTTTAAAAATAGGAAGGCCTCAGATATTCAGGACCGCGGATGAGAAGTCTCCCATAAGCGACCAGCTCTATCTCACTTAGTGGAGGCTTCTGTTTCTGTCCATCAGCGCCAGGACGCTCGGGCGCTCCAGGTGCGCGCGTCCGGCAGCAACTGGGACAGGTCCCCGTATCCCTTCTCCGATCCCTGCCCAGCGATCCCGCCGCTCGCCCCCAGCTGTTATCGCACTGCCGGGAGCCCGCGCGGCCGCTGTCATTCCGGCAGGGGGCGCCGTCCGGCCGCAGTGGCCGCGCCGGGCCGCGCTCTGATTGGTTGGAGGCGGTGGCCCGAGCCCACTCCCGCCCACCCCGTCCGCTAAGTGCCGCGTCGCGCGGGCTTCTGCCCCAGTCTGCGGGCCTCCCGGACAGCGGCGGGGCCGGAGCGGCTCAGAAGAGGGGACAAGACCAGGGCAGGAGGGAACCGGCCGGCCGCGAGAGCCCCGTACGCCCAGCAAGATGCTGTCCTGGCGGCTGCACACGGGCCCCGAGAAGGCCGAGCTGCAGGAGCTCAACGCCCGGCTCTACGACTATGTGTGCCGGGTGCGGGAGCTGGAGCGCGAAAACTTGCTCCTGGAGGAGGAGCTGCGTGGCCGGCGCGGGCAGGAGGGTCTGTGGGCCGAGGGGCAGGCCCGCTTCGCCGAGGAGGCGCGCGGCTTGCGGCAGCAGCTGGACGAGCTGAGCTGGGCCACGGCGCTGGCCGAGGGCGAGCGCGATGCGCTGCGGCGCGAGCTGTGGGAGCTGCAGCGGCTGGGCGAGGAGGAGCGCGCCGCCCGCGGCCGCCTGGACGCCGAGCTGGGCGCCCAGCAGCGCGAGCTGCAGGAGGCGCTGGGCGCGCGCGCCGCCCTCGAGGCGCTGCTGGGCCGGCTGCAGGCTGAGCGCCGCGGCCTGGAAGCGGCCCACGAGCAGGACGTGCGGGAGCTGCGCGCGCGCGCCGCCCGCCTGACCATGAGCTACCGGGTCCGCGCCACCGGCCCCGCCGCGCCCCCGCAGCGCCTGCGGAAGGTGCACGACAGTTACGCGCTGCTGGTGGCCGAGTCGTGGCGGGACACCGTGCAGATGTACGAGGACGAGGTGCGCGAGCTGGAGGAGGCGCTGCGGCGCGGCCAGGAGAGCCGGCGCGAGGCCGAGGAGGAGACGCAGCTGTGCGCGCAGGAGGCGGAGGCGCTGCGACGCGAGGCGCTGGAGTTGGGGCAGCTTCGCGCGCTGCTGGAGGAAGAGCTGCGGCGGGTGCAGGAGGAGTACGAGCTGCAGGCAGAGGAACGGCAGGTCCGTGCGCAGGGGACGGTCCCACCCCGGGCCCCTACCTGTGGTCGGGGTGGTGGGGGGCGGCGGGGCTGCCTGGACTCGTTGCGTGCGCCCGGGGCGTGGCGCCGCCGGCGGGTGGGGGGCGGGGCCAGAGGGGGTTCGACCCGCCCTGGCAACTGGGCGCTGAAGTGGGGGGTCCCTCGCTCTGCGTGGGAAGAGGAGCGCGGTTTGCGGATCAGCTAGTGCCGGGTGGCGGGTCTCGGTGGAGAATTCCGTCCCTGTCATCTTGTTAGGTTGTCAGTTTCTTTCGATCTTGCCTTGAGCGGGTGCAAACTGACAAAAGACCCAGGACCCAGCCAGCTCTAGGCTCCCTTTCAACTTCCCGTGCTTCGTAGACCTAATTCACATAAAAGTCCAGCAAGAAGCCCCCTGACTTCCAGAAACGACTTCAGAAGCGACAGCTCGTTCCTTCGGGGTTGGGAGGTGTCTCGGCAATGTCAAGTCCCGACCGGCAGCTGTTCAAAATGACAGCCCCTTGGCGGTAGGGCACCCCTGGAGAAAACTTAAATTATTGCGTAAAACGGTTTTTATTTTGCCAGAGTGATTTCCCAGTAGGAGGCGGCCGGTTTGGCTCTCTGGGCCCCTGCCTTGTGCGTTCTTGGGAGGGGCTGCCGCCTTCTGCAGGCAAGAGGATGTTTTTCTCGAAGTCTCTCCAGCAGACATCAGATCTCTGGGTAGTGGAAAAGTTGTGGAAAGGGGCTGCTCCCTGTGGCAGGATGTGATATAAACAGTTACTATTTCAGAGAAGCAAAACCCCAACGGACACTGACAGGGTGATACCTGTGGACGGTTATTGTCCCAGTGCGGTACTGGGATGGGACCTGGTCCTGCCTCCTGGAGGCCAGAATTGAAAATATCCCCAAATCATACCATCAGTAGTTCTCAGGACAACAGTTTAAAACAACACCCACAAAAATTCAGAAATATTTTAAGGGGATAATTTGTAGCTTGGGGTTAAAGATTTGTGGTAGAGGGATTGTGTGTGTGTGTGTGTGTGTGTGTGTGTGTGTGTGTTTAAATGCAGGAGTAAAGGGAACACAGAGGACTGTGGTGATGTGACAGGTGTCCACAAATAATCAGCAAATATCTATCGACTGCTCCTAGGTCTTGAGCACTGCCTTGGGTTTTCAGTATTCAAAAAGCTGGAGTCTAGATGGGAAATCCTATAAAGCAGTGCAATACGAAATTGTTTGGAATGTAATCTTGTGGAATGTGGGTTTTGTTGGGCCTCTGCCTCATAGTTTTCAAAAGCATTCTCCTCACCATTCCCTTGCAGTGGGAGCTCCTTGTCTCATTTCTGCTTGGGATACGCAGTCTGAATGGGGGAGGGGCCCACCGGTGAAGTGCCTTCTCCGGGATCGCAGGGGGTGGGGGGGACTAGACTCAGCAGTCTGTCTGGTGATTCCTCTCTCATCGGAATTCGCGTCTTTGCCTTAAAAGTAGGGAGCAAGGAATGTCAACGGGACTTGGTTGGCTTTTTTTTTTTCCCACTTCCAATCTGTATGTTTCATCGCACTGAATATGCCCTTATCCATAGCTCAAATCTTTCCCCAGTTAGCTTTAAAGCCAGCGAATTTCAAATTGCATCCCAAAGATTCAACACCAAACCATTAGCATTTTTTTTCCCCAAAGATTGTATTTACTTATCTGACCTAGAGGGAGAGAGAGGGAATACAAGCAGGGGGAGTGGGAGAGGGAGAAGCAGGCTTCTCGCTGAGCAGGGAGCCCGATGCAGGGCTCGGTCCCAGGGTCCCAGGTTCATGACCTGAGCTGAAGATCAGATGTTAATGACTGAGCCACCCAGGCGACCCCCATCAGTATTTTTTTTTAAAGGGTAAAAATACTAAGGATTTTGTTAAAGAGTGTCTGTGATTTAACCCCAAGCCCTTGATTTTTTCACCATTCTATAGAAGATTGCTCTGGGGAGACTGAAAATATCATAAAACCGGATTTAACTAATATACTGTAGTGAATGTTTCATTACTGAGAGTTTTTATCAAGTGCTTCTGGCATGCCAGATACCCCAGGAACCAGACCCTTGATACCTACCTATTCACTCTTAGTCCTCAGCCCGATCTTATGAGGTAGATTCCAATAGGAGCCCCATTTCACAGATGATGAAACTGAGGCACATATGTTCTCTTCAGGTGCCAGTGTCTGAGCCACTAACCCCGGATCCAACATTTCCTCTCTTCTCTGTTGCATCAAAGAGAAACGTTAAGCCAGCATTCTGCCTTCATAGAATAATGGTAATTGTTCTTCCTAAGGGCTGGCCCAGAGGTGCCCATCAGTCTGAAACCTTAAAACACTTGCTGATCCTTCCAGCCGGCTGTCAGAATAGTTTTCGTGGCAGATGTGTTTCATTTACTTTTTGCCTACGCTGTGGTTTCGTGGGAACCCTCCCCTCTCCCACTCAGTGCCCACTGTCTCCCTGCCTCGGGGCCTCTTCTGTGGCCCAAGAGAACTGGACACTGGCTGGAGCTCTCTTTCTGGGAAAAGCGGTTCTTCCCCGAAGGCCTGTGTATTGGGCCCCATACCCCAGATCTGCCAGAGAGAAGTTTGCTGAACTGACATCCAAGCCCCCAGCATTTTGTATACAGTTGTGATCACCTAAAGCCTGAGTAATTCACCCTGTCTCCCAGTTCGTTGGAAGAAGCTTTGGACAAAAACTCAAGACATTTTTGGTTGACCACCCCCCCCAACCCCTATAAACACTGGATTTTTGCTTATGAGACTTATGAGCTCTTAGCCTTTTGAGGCTGACTAGAAAAGGCTTCCAAGTCCCCAAAATGTGACCGAATGAGAAATTTCTTTTGACTGGAAGGGGGAGGGGTTAGCCGCCCAACCTGGGCCTGAATTCTGGCTCTGCCCCCGTTTGTGTCTCTGTTCCCCCATTTGTGGAACAGCGGTCATAAAAACGGCTCACAGGGTGCCCACGTTGGGTTCATTCATTCATCCGACCACGACAGAGCACGTCGTGGGCCGAGCCTGGGTCTTGAGTGCCGGGGATATAGCCTGAACAAAACAAAACAGAGAAGAAAGTCCCTCGCCTTTCAAGGTCTTGAGGTGGAAACAGCGCGGGGTGTCCTGGAGGTGGGTGTGGCCAGGCGGGATGGGCCAGTGGAGAGTGGCCTCTACAAGGACTTGGGCTTTGGCCCCGAGCAGCATGGGTGACACTGAGGAGAGGTGAATGGTGACCGGCTGTATCCGAATGTCCTTGCTCTGGGGCTTGTGTGGGACAAGAGTTGGGAGCAGGGAGAACCTCTGTACTAATCAAGGCAGGAGGTGCTGGAGGTTTGGACCAGGCACAGCCATGAGGAGCTGAGAGGAAGTTTGTCCTCTGAGGTCGAAGCCCAGCAAGGCCTGCGGGTGGGTTGGAGGCAGTGGAAGAGAGGGGGGACGTCCCAAGTCAACTCTAGAACTTGTTGCCTGAACCACTTGGTGGGGTGGGGGGAGGAGTGCTCATTGCTGAAGGGGGTTGGGAGCAGGAGATGTGGCCCATTTGGGTGGGAGATCAGAGTTCACTCTGAGATGCCTCTTAGATGCCCACCTCGTACTGAGAGATACCATCCTGAGTCTGGAGTTGAGCGTATTATCTGGACTAGAGCTTTAAAAAAAAAAAAAAAAAAGTAGCCTTCTATTAACGCTCGTTATTCCAAATGCATTTAGTTTTGATGTGTCAGGGAGGTCGTCCCAGTATCTAAATTCCCTCGAGCTCCACCAGTCAGGATTCTGAGTGACCGTGACATTCGCAGACTCTTCCTGTTTTGTCCGTGGGACTCGCTCAGCTGAGAGCAGCTCCCGCTGGGGGAGGACGAGGAGTTTTATTTGGACCCGCCCAGCAGCACGCTGTCCCTGGTACGGACCTCCATTGCATCATCACCCGTGATGCCATCCGGAAGTTCCCTAAATAGCAACTCAAAAAGGTGACCTCTCTCCCCAGCTTTTGTACCGTTAGGTGGGGGAACAGCTCTTGCTTGGTGAGAATCAGCAGTGCTGGGTGTCCTGCTCCAGCACCTCTGGTTAGAAAACTTCTGGCAAAGTCGACGCCAAGCCGGAGCTTTCTTCAACCAGCAGGGTCGGTTACAGTCTCTATGGAGACTGGAGCCAAAAGTTCTTATTTACGGTCCTGCTTCCAAAAGCCAAGTCATTTTCCTTTGACAGTTTTGGGAGAGTTGAGTCACACGGAAATGTGGTTGGAACTATACTTATTTTAACTACAACACAGTTTGGGTTTTCTCACCCCCCTCCTATTTTGTGGGGTGCAGATCTATTCTGTGCCCTCTGGGAAGAGAGAGAATCTTTGTGCCCGCCTGTGGTTTGGCGTGGCGGGGAGATTCTGACCTCCTCAGGATGTTCATGGATAGAGAACCGAGTGCTTGTGATAACTTTTTTTGTTTTTCTAAACAGTTTAACAATAATTGAAGTTCTCTGTAAAGAAAAAGATCAGTACAGATTTCCGAGTTTTGATATTCAGGTTTCATCTCCTGCCGTGAAAAGGTGTAATATCGGGATGTTTACAGCATGTCTTACACTCTAATCTTAGACCTGGGATTATACTCCCTCTAAAATGGGGGGACATAGGGTTTTAACACCAAGACTTGTTGGAAGAATGTTTAAATATCACGGCTAAATTTTGGCAGCCATGTCTCTTCAGTCAAGACTGGAATGGTCTGCTTTAGGCAAGCCTCACTATCTACTTGCAATGCCAGTTTTGAAGAATATTAATGTAGATCTACCCTGAGATACTAGCTAGAGGTTCTTAAATTGACTCCTCAGCTTTCAAACCTAATGGTTTCAGTTTTTGTTTTTAGCATGCTTTATGTACACATAGAGAACCTAGCAACAATCATTAGCTGGAACAGAACTCTTAGGGAGGGAAGATTATTTACATGCCGATCATGCATCGTTTAAAGTAGTGGATCCAGCGTGAGATCTTAATTTGCCGGGTTTTGCTGATCTTATATATTTACTGCGGACCTTCAGCGTGTCGCCTGGTGCCTTTGCTGGAGGGATTATAAGGGGAATGGAAACAGATCCCCTCTCCTGGCTGTCTTCTTTGAATTCTCCAAAGATCAATGTCTAAAAATGTAGCCAGTTTAGTTAACTGTCTTCAGAAATAAGGCTGTTTTCCATTACAAACCAGAAGTTAAAGAATATGGACTCATTTCAGTGTTTAAATATTTGCTCAGTTAATTATTCCCCAGAGCAACTCCGAAGTGTTGACGCGAAACCGTAAAATGGTACAGAGGAAGCCACTGTGTTTACAAGCTCAAAGACAGTGTCGATTTAAAATAGCATGTTTTTAAGGAGGCAACATGCATTACTGTGATCATTTTAAGTGCAGTTCACTGATTGTGTACAGGGTGACTTGTAGGGGATGAGCGATTTTCTAGAGGTGGGGGATGCACAAGATAGCGGGCCATGCCCTTCAGTGTCTCCCAGCTGGTGGGAGGGACAGATGGGCAGACGTAATTAGCCAGGTATGAGTGGACGTGCCCTAAGGGCTTCGAGCATGATAGGAGCATGTGGGAGAGGGAGCGCTCATTAGTGATGTCTTCTGAGCACAGTCAAGAAAGAGTCACATCCTGGTCCATGTTGATATTTACACCCTGAGGATCTTCTGTCTCACCAGGGCAGCTTTTCTAGGTGAAACAAAGAGCTCGGTGAGAGAACCTGCTTAGTGTTGGGGGAAATTATGTGTCTGGGGGGAAATTGTTTCAAATTGGTGGGGCTTCCATTTCAGATACTGTGAAAGCCCCATGACGTGGTCTGGGCTCGCTTTGAAGAGGATCCCCGTAGACCGGTTGGCGGTGTTGACTTTCCTAAGCAGCTGGATAATGTTTGAAAGACAAAGATGCTTTCAGGAACTTCTAAGCATTCGTTCTCACTAGAGAGTGGAAACAGAGCAGTCAGTCCCCTGTCAAAATCACCCCTATGTAATAATAATAATTTTAAAAACTTCTTTTAAAAAATTTTTTAAAATTTTTTAATAAACATATAATGTATTATTAGCCCCACGGGTACAGGTCTGTGAATCATCAGGCTTACACATTTCATAGCACTCACCATAGCACATACCCTCCCCAACGTCCATAACCCCACCACCCTCTCCCTACCCCACCCCCCTGGCAACCCTCAGTTTGTTTTGTGACATTAAGAGTCTCTTATGGTTTGTCTCCCTCCCGATCCCATCTTGTTTCATTTATTTTTTTCCTACCCCCCAAACCCCCCCCACATTGCATCTCCACTTCCTCATACCAGGGAGATCATATGATAGTTTTCTTTCTCCGATTGACTTATTTCGCTAAGTGTAATACCCTCTAATTCCATCCACGTTGTCGCAAATGGCAAGATTTCATTTCTTTAAAAAAAAAACTTCTATGGGGAAGAAAAACTGTATTTAAGATCACCCTTAGAATGACTGCGTCTTTCATAAGCCTAGAGACTTTTTTTTTTCCTTTTTGCATCCTGAACTGTTGGTACCTTCAGTTTGACACAGCAGAACTCCAGCCCTCCCATCTAAAAGCCCTTTGTTCTCTTTAGAGAGTGATAGCCTGCCTGGAGGATGAGAAGGCGGCCCTCACCTTGGCCATGGCTGACCGGCTGCGGGACTACCAGGAGCTCGTGCAGGTGAAGACCAGCCTCAGCCTGGAGGTGGCCACGTACCGGTAAGGATGCTGCTTGGGTGAAATCCCCCGTAGCCTCTGGAGTCCCTAGGGCTGTGTGATGATCAGACAGCAGACCCCTGGCATGGCCAGGCGAGGAGTACAGGGCCAAAATGAGAGGAGGAGGATGGGTGCCACACTTAGACCGCCAAGCAGATGCCCCCCACCCTCCCCGTGATGGAGCTCACAGAACTCGTGCCCTTGCCTGGGGTGTGTGTGTCCTGGGCACTAGGCAAGAGGTTCGCACCTGTCAACTCCTTGGATCCTAGGAATTAGGGACAGCGTTTATAGGGGGACCAACCCCGCTCAGAGAAGTGAGGGGGCTAGAAAGTGGAGGGCCAAGACTCAGACCCAAAAAGTCCACTTCCAAGTGCCCATCACACTGTGGCTTCAAATCCCAGGGCTCTGACTCGACTCCCCATGGGTTTGGCCTCAAGGCACTGCCTTTCTCCTGGAAGATGAATCTGGTCCTCTAGGCAGCCGGCTTTATTAAGATGATGACTTGAATTGGGGGTGAGCATTCTGGAGGAAACAGTCTCAAAGTCCTCAAAGGGGACGGATGGGGGCTGGGCAGAGAACACAGTCCGGAAAGCGATGCTTCTCCTTGGCTTTCCCCATCCTGCCCCCGGGGGCAAGCGGTCTTTGGTTGGGGTGGTGCCCTGTGCTTCCTGCAGATTTCATGCTCAGTGAGGACTGGTGAGGGAGGCAGATCTCAGGCACTTGCAACAGAAGGACTTTTGAGATACCCAGGTTTCCCACTTGGAAGGACAGTACCAGCCACTAACATTCTCAAGCCTTTACTGCCTGTGGGACACAGCGCAAGCGCTTTGCCGCTGCTCACTGCCTGAGATACCATCTCTGGTGGGTGGAAACCACTCGCTCTTCTTGCAGGTGAGGGCGGGGGGCCTGGAGGCCAGGGACCCAGGCTGGTGAGAGATCTGTGCCTTACCCACCAAGTCATGTGAAGTGGACACAATGCCCCCTTCATTCCCAGGGGACATCAGAGCATGAATCAGCCGTGGGTGGGACTGAGCTCTGAAACCCGGCCTCTCCCAAAGTGAAAAGAAGATGCAGTGGTAAATGCCATCTTCTGAAGGCATCACTGCTAACAGATGGGGGGCATTAAAACCTGGAGAGGCTAAGAAGGGGTTAAGGTCCACTCCCTTGGTGGGAGGCAGAGCCTGGACAGAGCCCAGGCGCATTTCAGCACTCCCTGTGGGCTGCCCGATCATGACTTTGCTCTCCTAACGGCCAAGTGGCCTGGGTTAAGAGAGCATGTCTGGCTGGGGTGTGCAGGTGGTCCTCCTTGCAGCCCTGGCCTAGCCCCACCGTGCATTGTCTGGAAGACTTGCCTTAGCCTGTCATCAGGGCCCTTCTGACCGTCAGGGAAGAGGAAGCAGGCTATCGGGCAGTCCCTGGCCTCAGCCCGATGCAGCCCCTAAGGGGCAAGGCCTGCCTAGGACACAGCAACTCTTGGAAGAGCCCCAGCTGGACAGAGAGGTAGGCAAGCCAGTGGGGGCTCTGCCGGGTCCCTGCTCTGAACGCCGTGATGTGGCTGCGTCCTGCGGAGGGGAGGGGGCTCATGACACAGAGAGAGGGCAGAGGAGGCCCAGCCAGCCTGTCCTTCTCAAGGGCCATCTCTCACAGTCTCCTTGGAAATCTCATGGGATGGAAAATCACAAAATTAAATCAAGCTGGGTCAGGTGATCTGAATTACTAATAAGGAAAACTTCAAAACAGGCTTCATCTGAGGGGAAAGAAGTATTAATCAGGACTGACCGAAGCCCTTCTCAGACTGCCTCAAGCCAACAAAGGCATTTATTCCCCAATTGATGGAAAAAGTCCCCAGTTGTAGGCACAGTAGGTCTGGGTGTGGTCAACAGTGACTGTCTCTGCTGCTTTCCCTGGTCTCTCCCTTCTCGGCTCTGCCCACACTGTGGCAGGATGGGCCCCAGCCAGCTCCTGGCTCTGTCCTTCTGGTCTTGCCCCCCTGGTCAGAGGAAGGGGCTCTTTGCTCATCCATCTCAGCTAAACTCCTGGGCCCTGCAATTCTGGCTCCACTGGGCCATGTGCCTGTCCCTGTCCCTGTCCCTGGTCGGGGGAAAAAGTACTCTGGAACTTAGAAGGGCCCACTGTCCCGTGAGCTACATGGAGTGACTCTGGGGTGGGAGGTGCCCCAAACTGGCACTGTCCTAGAGCAGATGTGGGGTTGTCCCAGCAGACCCACAGCTGTGCCCGTGTTAGGTGACATCAACGTTGCGTGACTCTTTTCTGTGCAGAGGCAGTTGGATCTTCCTTGTCATAATAGTTCTGTAGGTTGGATTTGGAGACTTTCATCTTATGCTTTGTCCCTCTGGGATTCGAGCCCTTTCTTTCCTTGCTCGGTCCTGCCCCTCGTTCTCTGTCGTGAGAAGTCAGAGGGCCTGTGGGCGTCTTGCCTGAGCATCCAGCGCCCGACTTTTTGGTAGTTGTTCATACCCTAGCTTTCTTCAAGGGTATCAACAGGGAGCCTTTGTGCTCACGTCGGCAGCCTGATTGTCGGCTGAGACAGAGTTTATGGCCTCTGTCTGTTCCTGGCATTGCTCTAACCCAGTTAGGGATTGACTTGGCTTCCTCCTCGGAATTTAGAAGGCCACAGTACTTTCAGGGAAGGGGGTGATTGATTTCACTGTCTGTCTTTCTGACGTCCAAGTTCGCACAGGGAAAATGAGGAGCCCGGCCCTGCCTAGCCGCAGATCCCAAGCCCAGGGTTTAGAACGGGTGCCTGCCTCCCCGCCTCCCAGCGCTCAGGATTTAGTCTGGGAGATGCCCACAGACCGAAAAGATATACGGGCAGTGGAACATAACCCATTTCTTTGTACGAGCCGAGCGCCTAGCATTTTTGTCACTGCCTTGTGTCCTGCAGAGAAGCCCTTGGCATCTCTTATGTGACTCTTTCTGTATTTTGTCCTGCTGCCCCAATCCTGAGAGCAGGGATGAACATGCATATTTGTGTCAGTGCCCTTTTGTTCTTCTGACCCCTTCACAGGTGCCTGCTTGATCTTTATAAACCTTGTCTTTGAGGGAGTTGACCTTCCTTCCACACCTCCCCCAGAGAGGGCAGCAGGGACCGTCAGCCTCTTGGGGACCACGGCCCAGGGCCCCGTGCAGTGTGACTCCTCACCAGCCCTGTCCAGAGGGGCCAAGGGTGGCTGACGGTGTGGCTGGCACAGCTTCCCGCTCCTGACCGAGATCGGGTGGATTTGCCCCAGGTTTTCCCTACAGTGGCCCATCCCCCGCGGCTGCAGAGTTGATGTCGGTGTGTTGACTTAGCATCTCGAGTATAAGCTAAGGGGCTGAGGAGCCTGCGAGCTGGAAGCCCAGCACAGTACAGCTGGGACTTGTCAGCTCTGCTGGGGCCAGCTCTCAAGTGTCACACGCATTCTCGAACCCAGATATGGGCCCTTTCCGGTTGGCCTTCCCAGTGAATAAGAAACACTGATAACAGAATAGTGTCATTTATAACTAAATGTAGACATAGAGTTTGTAAGTAAAGACGCAATTCAGTAAAATAACAAAATTCGAACAAAGCGAACCCCAGCGTCTAAGGCGGGAGGACATCCTCAAACCTAGCGGGCCAGTCACTGACCCGGGAAGACTCTGGTGCCTTGTTCGGCAGGTGAGTGTGAGAACGAGCCCTCTCCTCCCACACTACAGGGGACAACGGGCGGTAATCTGGGGCTGGCTGATGGCCGAGGCACCAGGGGGAGTACAAGAGAAGACGGGCCAGCCCCAGGGGCCAGGGCTCGCCTGTCGGCTTGTCCCCAGTGAAGTTACGTGGGGCTGCAGGGGCTCGTGCACTGCATGCATAGTCACGAGGCCTCCTGGGGCGTGAGTGTTTATTACTCCGGCCGCCGAGCACTGAGGGGAGTGTGGTTCCCAGCCTCATCTGCACCTGGGGGTCAGCTGGTGAGCCTGCTAAATAAAGCATCGGTCCCTGGGCCCATTCCTGAATGTTCCGATCAGCTTGGCACAGGAAGGGCCCAGGCTTTGTCCAGTGCGGCCAGGGTAGAGAACCACGGCTGTGGGCCCTCGACGCTCCAGGGGCCCACGGACTGACAGCGTTGGCATCATCTGGCTTCCCAAGCTGGTGGGAAATGCAGACTCTCAGGCCCATTCCAGACCCTCTGGTCAAAGCCAGGCTCCTGACAAGATCCCCGGTGACTCAGGGTGTCCGCCACTGTCACCAGAGCAGCGCAGGAGCGTCCCGAAGGCACTGAGCCGGTTTCACAGTGGCCTAGGGGCAGGTGAATGAGGGGCAGGCCGAGTGGTGTGCAGGGAGCCGTGGCGGGGGATGGTGGGTGAGGCCTGCAGTGCGGGCTTCCAGAAGATCACGTGGGGAGCGCTACCAGGCAGAGGGGCCATCTGGGCGAGAACCCAAGGACTGAGCTAGTGTGGCATCTGTGGCCATTGCCAGACGTTTGGGCTTCCCGGGCAGGCCTGGTTTTGGGGGCCTGGACTGGAGGGCTGTGTTTGAGGGATGGGCAAGAGCCACAGCTGTGAGGCCGTGTTCTGTGAGCGGGGCCTGTGCCCTCTGGCTGCTCCAGGGACGTTGGCAGGCAGGGTGCCACGCCAGCTCAGAGGGGCCCACAAACCTACAGAACAGAGTGGGGGTTGGCGTTGAGGGTCAGGTGCTGTGGACAAGACCACATGGACCTAAGTCCCTCCCCCCCACACCGTTAGAAACAAATGCCTTGTAAGACACAGGAGTACCAGATTTCTGGGGGGGAGAAGGGAGTTGTGAGAATCCGGGAAGGCTTCGGGAGGGAGGTGAGGTTGATCGGGGTCCTGAAGGATGGTGGGGATTTGAACAGACGTGCAGGAGAAGGGGCTGTGGGGAGTTGGGGGCACACGGGGGGAGGGACTGGTCCACTCAGGTCCAACAGACCGTTTACTGGGTCAAATAAAGACAGTTCAGAGGCGGGACTGAGAGCTTCCAGCCGAGGTTGGCAGGAGAGATTTTC